TTTTTAAAACTCCATTTACATTAAAACAAAAACTACATTTATATTACAAAGAAACAAATAAATTGCAATAAAATTTAATTCATTTAAATTTAATACATTGCTAATTATTTCGCAGAATATTACATTTTTATACTATTTTTCCTCTTTCAAAAAAAAAATTCTTGAAAATTTAATAACTTTCAAATTTAAAAATAAAATTCTTTTTTATTACAAAGTACTGTCAATTAAATTACATATTTGTATGTAATGTATGTATGTATACATGAACCAAAAAAAATAAAATTAAAGGGCAAAAAAACACAAAATAAATTAAAAATTATTAATTGTTATCTTAAATCGCAATTATAATTAAAAAGGAAAAGAGAATTCCAGTTAAATTTTTTATTAACACTCGTATATAATTAAAAAATATTATTTAACCTTTAAAATTAACCTTTAATACCATACACAAATAATATTTATCGATGAACTGCATTATATTTTTTGCAATTTTGCAATTTTGCATAAATAAATCGCAATAAATTGAATTAAACAAAAAAATATATTTTATTTTTAATAATTTTTTTTAGTTTTTTTTATTTTATTTTAATTGAATTTTATTATTAACACTTGAATTATTTAATTAGAGTATTAAAATTTTAATAAATTATTTTATTAAATTAGTAAATTTTTGATTTGTTTTTTTTTTTTTTGAATTTACCAAGTAATCCGATGGTTGCAAAGCGCATTTTTGTTGTTGTTGTTTGCGTTACTTTACCATGTAAAGTAAATTTTTTTTTATTTTATAAAATAAAATTTATAAAATATTTTTCTTTTGATAAACTACACAGAAGAATAACTGAATTAAGACTGAGAAAAAAATATTTATTCGAATAGAATTTATATTATAAGTATATAGAGAATTTAAATTTCAGAAGCTTAGTCTGAGCTTATTGACAAGCTCAAGACAAGTTTCAGACTGGTTTGGGGTAAAAAAAACCTAGCACTTTTTATAACATTTTTCATAATTTGTTTTTTTTTTTTGTAATTTTATTTTCTTGCTTTTCTTTGTTTTTTTGTGTGTGTTTTCAGTAAAATGTTTAAAGGCAACAATCAATTTTGATGACACACAACATCATTTTAATTTTTTTTTTCAATTTTTTGTTTGATACTTTTTAGATTTTACTTTCTATACTGTTAAATGTACATACACACATGTATACTTACATATTATTGTGCTCATATTAAACTATAATTTTAGTTAGAATTTAACAAGAATAAAAACAGAGATAATATTATGTATAATAAAAGTTAATATTTGCATGCTTAGATTTAAATTTCTATCAATTTCTATTTTGTTTTGTTTTTTTTTTGTTGTCTTTTTGTTATTTTTTTAATAAAATTTTTATTTTTGATATGAATTTTTGTATAATATGTAAGAGGGTAACAAATTGTTGATATGACGAATTGGTGTTGATATGTGATAGCTATTTGAAAAATTGGTAGTTTCTATTTTTTATTTTATTTTGTTAAGCTAAAAAAGATAATGCAGATAGTTTCTCACAAAATTACAAAAATATTCATATTTATTTGAAAAACTACTAACTAACCCACCTTAATGTCAATGTGAAAACACATGTATGTAGAATCAATTACAAATTCGTTTGAATCTTTCAAATATTAGAAGTTTAAAGAATTGAGTACAGAATCGATAATTTTTATAAGTACTAAAAGAAAATGATTAAAAATCAAATAAAAGAATAATTTTAATTGTTTAAAGTTCAAATTTAAAATAACTATAGTAAATTAGTGTATCGCGCCTAAATGTATGTACGAGTATGTAATTATCGGAACTGTATATCAACTTCTATACAATACGTGAGATTTTTGCGGTAGCATTCAAATTGAATTTCCAGTAGTGCTTATAAAATAAGTTTTCCGTTGCGACTATATATAAAAAAAATAATTATTAACTACTTATTTAAGTTAATTTCTACATACACGTTAGATTGTAAAATAAATTTTGATCTGAATATTTAAAATTATAAAATTGAGGAGTTTTCTTTCTAATTTTTAACAGTTTATTATTATACGAGTAAAAATGAGAATATTTTAAAAGTTAAAATTAATTGTTTTTAAAGATTTCGAATATATCTATACATACATATACAAACATACTAATTGCTCCAATTGTTTTTTTACAAAATTTATCTTTCTGTATCGGCGTATTTCAGTTTAGCTTTTTTAATTTTATTCACGCTTTCATTTTCCCTTTCAGTTATAAATGTTTATTTAAAAAAAATTTTTTTTACTCACATTAAATGTATGTAATCTTAAACATAATATCATAAATAGATATACATACGTACATATGTGTATAAAATATAAATTAAGATTTTTACTAACACAATGTCGATAATATTTAGAACCATGTAAATTATAAAATTCTAGTAATATTCTTTGAAAATTTGTTTACTCTGCTGTAATAATTATAGTGCATCTAAATTGATATAGGTCTCTCGAATTATCTTCATAATTTAAATATGAGCAAAAAATAGTTCCATTTTAATTGATAAAAACGCAGAAAATAATCATTGAATAGAATCAATTAAGATTTACAATATTCTTTTGAAAAAATAATAATAAAGAACAGTTTTACAAAAGTTTTACATGAATTGTTTTCCTACTTTGAAATTTTCATACACATATAGTCTATATTAGTACCTTGAATTTATCTTTTATAAACTCATTAGTAGCAAACTAAACATTTCTAATATGTATATTTATAAACTATTTCCATAAATTTATGAATATTTTAGCTACAAAATAATATTTTTACATACTAGAAAAATTATATAATAAACGAAAAACATAAAATATATTTATTTACAGCTGATGTACTGAATATCATAAATTTGTATATTCTTGTGCGTTTTCGCAATTTTGATTCAATTGCCCTACTGGTGCTACAAAACTTACAGGTGACAATATTCATAATATAGAAAAATTTTTAGAGTGTGCAATTTAAATGTGTTTGAATATTCACATTAGAAATAAATTTTTAAAATAAAATATGTATGTATGTATGTAGTTCTTTTAATAAAGTATTTGAATTTCTAATAGAAATATTAAAATGTGTCACTTTTAAAAATTGTATTCAAAATTTAATAAACTCATTATTTTATTTATCAAATAAATGTGGTCGTAGCTCCTTATAGTTAACACGTACATACTTACATATATAGAATAATATAAAATATGGTATTTTCCCTTTAAAGAAATATTATATATGTATGTATTAGCTAATTTCAAATTTTGCGAATTATTCGGTATACACTCACATATTATACGAATTAAAAAGCGAGAAGGCTTATCTGAAATAATTCAATTTAAATTCACTAGAATTATTATTTAATAAATATTAAATATTGTTATTATTGTAGTTTTTGTTTTGTTGAAAAATTGGTTGTCTAAAATTTTTCTAACAATTTTCTTATTTACACAAGGTGAAGGTTGTTGGTCTTTATTAAAAGAGTTTAAGGTGGATTCAATATTACATATATAATATAAATTGTTTATAAATACAAAAATTTTCGATTATTAAAATTTGTAGATTATAGACTGTAATAATAAGGTGACAATATATCTAGGTAAATCTTGATCTTTTGGTCAAGATCCCCCAACAGACATGGCGTCTAAAGTACATCTTTTATATATTAACCATAATGTTTTAAAGTGAAATTTACTTAAAAGATCTACTTATTTTACATAATCCTATTTTTTAATTGAAAAAAAAAAAAATGATTTTTGTTTAGCATTAACAACGGAATTAATAAGAATTTAATAAGAATTGTATGTGTATAAATATACTTACATATGTAATTAAAATCGGTACAAACAGATACTTTCCTAGGCACCTAAAAACTTTTTTATTGAATAAAATAAGAATTTAGGTACCCTTGATTAAATGAATTATAGCGTTTTAGCTTCTTACCTACATATGCCAGTGACAAAAATACCAATTTCTGAAAAAAACTATTAATCCTGCGAAAAATTATTTACTTACATAGCTCCATACATAGAAATCTGTCCAACATCTTTTGAAAACTGCCACATCTCCAGAGATCCTCAAAGAAATTTTTACCACGCTATCATTAATTATAAAATTGAATATCTCATCGGTCGAAGATTAAAGAATGAAGATTTTCATCTTTATCAATGATTTTAATATCCCTTTTTTGGGACCTGGATAGTTTTGCTGACATAGTGTGTTTATGTACATACATATGTGTGAAAGATTGTAGGCACCCAAATTAAGAACAGGTGCATTTTGTTTCTTAAATTCTATTTCCTTTTTATATTTATTGAATCGTTAAATAATTAAAATTGGACGTTCGATATCATGAATTGCTCCGATACAGAAAAGAAATGTTAATAAATTTTTCAAATTTTTACTAGCAAAAATTAAAAAAAAAAAGTGTGGCAACACATATAACATATCCTTTTCTGGTTTTTAAATAAAACTTAAATTATAACCATAATTGAACACTTTTTTATGACAATTTTTGTATTACACCTAAAATTTATCAAAATTTTCCGTTTTTACTGTCATTTAAGTTGTCTGTATCTTAAAATTATTTTTTTTTAATGGTAAAATTTTTGCGTCAAATTTTATATTTTACTTCTTGTTAGAATTATGACAAAAATAGAAAACGGTTTATGTAACAAAATAACAACAAAAAAAGAAATAACACTGTTATATGTGGTGTTAAGCCAAACTCGTACAAAGCATCTCGTGTAATACGTGGTGTTAAAGCAAGCTGTATAAAGAGTAAGCATGGATGATAATTCTTTTAAGCTTTATTTTCTTTCCTTGTATTAAAGAAAATTCAAACGAAAAAAAATCGTACGAAATAATTCCGGTAGATGTCATGTCTGTTACATTTCATGTGAAACGCTCCCTTTTTAATAACAGCTGGACAAACTTCAAAGTTTGTATAAAAAAAATAGATGTTTTGGCATTATTGTTAAATCGGCATTCAATTTTTGTAAGATTACTGATTCGAGTTTAAAAAATTTTTTTAAATACATATTAACTCTTTCATTAACTTTATTTATTTCTAAGACTTGTTATTGTATTGCTAAATATGACTTCGAGGAAAAGAAGTGGATCTGGATCGTCAAAACGCCCGAAGGAGAAGGTTGTATATATTTATGAAATATTTTTACGTGGGGAGGATCCTACCAAAGACAATCCAGAATTTTGGAATGAATTTTTTCTTTTGCAACCTAATGTTGAAAGTTTTGAAAATGAATTGTCTAAATTGTCAATTGAGCAGCTTGTATCTGTTAAAAATAATTTAAATTTGATTTTTACAAAGTGTATTGAAATGCTTGAATCAAGTCATACAAAAAGAATTTTTAATAGCCTTCAAACGTTATGCGCACTTTTTCATTCCATATTTAAAAGGTCTGCTTCTGAACCGAGTCTTGATGTTATACGTACAATATTTGAATTTGAGCAAATGGATGAAAATATGAAAATGTTATTAACACATTGCAATAATATTATGATAAGTAAGTCCCAAGGTTTTATTAAGATTTATTTATTTAATGACACAACAAAAAATTTTATATTTTTAGGTGATATATCAGAAGGCACAAGATTTATGTGCCTTAAATTTATATTGACTTTAGTAACAGGAACTGATAACGTTAGTCAAAATATTTTAATGGAATATTTAATGATGCATAGTTTGTTTGACATTTTAATACGTTTATTAAGTGACTCTTCATTACGTGCACAACATGGTCATGATATTGTAGTATTGTTAACATTGTTGGTAAACTATAGAAAGCATGAAGCTGCCAACCCTTACATTGTACAATTATCAATATTAGCAGATGAATTAGCTTTAAATGGGTAAGTATTAATTATTTTTTTGGCCTACTTAAAGTAATACCTAAACTGTTTTTGTAGTTACGGTCAAATGATATCATCATCACTTATTGATTTTTGTCGTCAATATATGCAAAACTTATCGAATGTTCAATCTTCATCGTGGTTTTCTTCACTGTCAAATATCGTGGGTAATATGTTTGTCTCAGATGAAGGTTATGAACGTGTGCAACAAATCAAAGCAAATAATGCACTACTATTAGCTTTATACGAAGCTGTTCATCTCAATAGAAATTTTATCACAACATTAGCACATACACAGACTGAAAGTAGCGCACCACCATCACCTAGTAACACTTTGAACGCTAACCAACCAGTTCCAGATCTCTCGAATGCTCCCATTCTAGACATAACACAATATCCTAGTAATTTGTTAGTTGCAGTTTTTCAATACTGGTAAGCAAAAAAAGTCAAAGTACTTACTTTTAATAATAAATTTTTGCTTAAATTTTTAGTTCAATTGTAATGCAAGATAACAAAAATGAATCTAGTGTAGCAAATCTAAAACTGTGTTTTTTAATTTTGACGTGTATATCAGAGGACCAGTATGCTAATTCAATAATGCATGATAATAATTTAACTTACAAAGTTTTATTGCATCGAGCTCAAATGAGACATCGAAAATTAAATGTTGATCGTCTTGGAAAAGCACAACCTTTGGCTGCTACTTTATTAGATTTGCTTGTTGAGTTCATTGTTTCGCATTTAATGAAGAAATTTCCAATGGAATTATATTTACTGTGTATTGGCGTAATTCACCGAATCTTGTGTTATCAGAAGAGATGTCGGATTCGATTAAATTATCCATGGAAAGAACTATGGTCAGCTCTAATCGGTTTACTAAGATTTTTAGTAACCCAAGAACAGAATCTAGTAAAAAAATGTAACATTTTTTATTTATCATTACAAGTTGTAAATATATTCAATTTATTCATCACATATGGAGATACATTTCTAGCGACAACTAATAGCTACGATGAGCTTTATTATGAATTAAATCGTGAAGAGAAAGTTTTTAGTGAAATACATGCCATGGGTTTGTTAAAAATTTATTTTTATTTTTATAGATTTTTAATTATCGAAAAAAATTTTAGTTTTACGTTACACAACAATGCCTGATACTGAATATAAAGACGATGTAATAAAGTTAATGGGTTCTTTAGTGAATATATTGGCAATTATAAAACATTTTCAAAATAAGATTAAAGAGTGGTTAGCTGAACAAGGATTATCGACACCAACTGAAGAACAAATATTAGAAGTTGTCCGGAAAAATTATGATTTAACATTAAAATTGCAAGATTCTTTAGATCATTATGAAAGATATTCTGAAACACCGAAACATACTGCATTTTTTACATCAATGGTACGAGATGTTGTCACCGATACACGAAAAAATGTTTATGCTTACATAAAAGAGGCAGTATCGGCACTTCCGGAAGCGGATCTAATCACGTCTCAATGAAAGTTAGATATGTTTTGTTAGATATGTGGATTTGGAAAATTATACAAAGAAAAACAATTATAGTAAACACATTGTCTTAAAACTTTTTGTTCGTACATTGTGAATTTATATACGTATATAAATGTATGAAATGTATATTTATATATGTATATATATATATTATACATAGATATATTTGATTGGTATGTTTTATGATTTTATTCAATATTCAAAATAGCAAACTGAATATTTTTAAAAAAATAATTAAAAAAAACTATTTTATAAATGTGTAAGAATATTTGTATTAAATAAATTAATATCATTTTTGGATATAATAAACAATTTAAAATTATAAACATTAAAAGTGCTTTTAAGTCTTTTTATTAGTAAATAAAATATAAGGATATAAAATTTGAATGAATGAATTAGCGCATTGATATTCTTAACTACAGAGCATTATTATAAATACTAGAACTGAAAACATCTAGGAAAACTTTAAAGTTAAATTCAATTTCAATTAAATTGATAATTCGAAACTGAAAAGCACATTTAACAAATGTGAACATTATAGAATTACAAATGTTAAATAAAGGCCATATTAAAAAAATGTACATACCCATTAAAAATTTTTGAAAATCGATTTTTAGCGTACTAATACTTTACACTCAAGTTGTATTTCTACTTTCTATTGCCTATTATGATTTCATTGAAACTTATAGGTTTCAAAATGTTTTTATATTACTAGAGAAGATATAATTTACTTGCATTGTTGTAAAAGCCATTGCATGGACTTGATAATACAATTTGTGAACATTTTCATTTTTGTTCAATAAAAATAATCTTGATAACAAGTTGCTATAAACACTAGACCCTTAATACATATTTATATAAAAAAATATTTTGAAAGTTGTTAAAAATGAGCCACGAAATATTGTTGTTTTATATTTTAAAAGACACTTCTCCAATAATTCTTAGTTATGATCAAACGATCAGCCATTACCATGTTTAACCACAGTTATAATCAGCCTTGTTAATATTACAAAATTTAAAATAAAAGAAAGTAGTTTTTTTTTCAAAGAAATCTCTATATTTTATTCATATATAGTGTAGATAATTATATATATGTATAGTTTGTTTGATTTTTTATTTCATTTATATAATTAATATATGAACTAATGTATACTTTTACATAATATCAATATTATTATAATATTTATGTATAAATTGAAAAGTTAAAAAAAATAATTGGGTATTTTAAATTTAAAAAGATTTATTTACAGAAAATAAAAATCAAAACATCAAAATTAATGATAAAAGAAAATAACCGAGAACTTGAGGGTACATAAATGTATTTTCCTTCCATTTTAATTTGATGTTTTAATTTTGATTAATTTAATTATATGGAAATCAAAAATATAAAAAGAAATTTAAAAAAAAAATAATAATAATACCATTAAAAACTTAAAAATAAAAACATTTTAATACAATTTTCAACTTAAAATTTAAAAAAAATTATATAATAAGGTAGATAGTAAAATTTATAAAATAATAAATACTAGAATTTTATATTTTATTTCCTTATAATTGTTTTTAACATAAGAAAAACAAAATTTTTTTACAAATATTTTGTTGAAATTTCAATCTTTAAATTATTTATATTATCAATTTCATTATTTTTGTATTTATTTTGTAAATATTATGACTAAAAAAATTTTAAATTTATTTTAAAGTTTATAAAATTTGTTATTTAATTACAATCATATTTTTTTTTTAAACCAATATTATTAAAAAATTATGGTATTAAAATAATGTAAAAGGTTTTTAAATTTTTAAAAATTTCTTTTATAATAAAACTGAATTAATTTTTGGAAAACCATAAATAAAAACTCAGCAAAGGGCACAATAAATTAAAATAAGCATTATTTTTTTTATTTAACAATTTGGTTGCTAAATAAGAAAAGTTTGTAGAAGCCTTCAAGTTGATTCTTGATGCAAACCGATTTGTTCAGGGATTTTAAATTTTTTGAAAGTTTTTTCTAATTACAAAGTACGATTCTATTGAAAAAACGGCAATTATTTTAAAATTCAATTTATTGAAAAGAAATAACACAAGTAAAATTAGCTAATATTATTTTATTATTTTAAAATTAGATGTAGTAAAAAGGCAGATTTTTTTCAGTTGAAAATCATAATTCAGAGTACGCGAAATCATAATTCAAAGTGCCCGAAATTATTCAATCATTTGCAAATAAAAGTTTTATTTAAATTTTAGAGTAAATCTTTCAGAATCTAAGATTCAAATTATTTATAAATTTTGGAGTGAAATGAATTATGAAGAAAAAAAAAATAATTATTTTTTTGATAAATATACATATTAAATATTTATGTAAAAAATTAATTAAATAATTACTTAATCCTTTTACAATATTTTATTTTTTAGATTTACATAATATTCTTATCAAAACCTTTTTGTTTGATTTAAATGTTTTTTTTGTAATGAATTATATCAAATTTAAAAAATTATTTATTTATTTTTTAATTTGCCTAATAAAAAGTTTATTTTTCATTTAATTTTCCATTATTATTTTTGTATGTTTATGTTATATAAATCATAATAAGTTTTAACTTATTTTTTTTTAATATTTATTTTTACCTACATTATATTTTATTTTAATTAATTTTGTGTTTTTGTCAATACAATAAAAAATTTTTCAATTAATTTAGAAATGATCAACTTTTACAGAAACCGTATGTGCAGCTGTATTACTTGGTAAATCAATATTATCCCATTCTGTATGAAGATTTTTTTCACTATCAGTTGCTTTAAGTGCTAAACCTAATGATGCTGTACGACCAGCACAATGTGGAATATTTAATGTTACTGGTACATTGAATTCAAGTCCTTGAGGTCCGCACATTACTAATGGTGATAGCATTGTTTCACCTATAAAATTTATAAAAATATATTTAAAAAAAAAATTAATATTTATATTTTTTTTATAAAAGAAAAATATTAAAAATATAAAAAGTATGTATACACAAGAAAGTATAATTTTATTTTTAAATCATATTCCAATTTAACAATCATCAATATTCATCATAAGAAACAAACAACAATCATAAGAAAAATTTTGTGTTTTGAATAAAAGGAAAATAAGTAAGAAATTCTAAGAAGGCAAATCTAAAAGAGTTCAAGAAGAAATTAAAGATTTTTTGGAAAAAATTTTGTTTCCGATTTTTTAAAAGGAAAAACTAAAGTGCATTTTCAAAATTTAAAAATGAAAAACTTAAAATAATTAGATTGTTTTTAATTTTTAGTATAAATTTATAAAACTCCAAATAAAGTGAAAAAATATGAAAGGTTGTCCTTTTTTATGAAATATAAGTAGAGAAAAATAGAGAAGGTTTTAAATATATGTATTAATTTTAATTATAAGTGGAGAAAATACTCTTAACTATTTAATTTTCTATATAAAAATAAATAATTCATAAAACATTATCCTATGTTGTTTAAAAATGCAAATCTAATTCGAATTAAAACACTGAGTGCTTTTAAAAATAGATGTTGTAGCCTTTTTATTTGTTACTTTATATTTTCTAATATTTTTTTATTTTGATTCTTAAAATGTTTCCTTAAAAACGAATCTACAAAGTATAATTCAAAACAATACTAAAATTATAAAAATAACATTATTACTTTATTAATGTCTTAATTTCATAATTGCTACTCAATACTACTATTAAAAAATAAAAAAATTATAACACTAGTACGAGTTGTTAAATTAATCAATATTAATTTCCGAAAATCTTTTTAAATTTATTTATTTTAACTCTTTACAAAAACTTTGGTTCATTATTAAATTTCCATTATTGTAAATTGATTTTTAAATATAGTAATAAAAATGTGTAAATTAATTATTTAAAATGAGATTTTATTTTAATTCAAACACAAAATTATGTTACATTTTCATATTATTATTGTACGTTTTGAGTTAAGTGATTTATCACAACTAAAATTAACAAGATAATCAGAAAATTATACATATTTTAATTTTTAGCATTGTAAGAATTTATAAACAAATAAGAGTAAAATTTGTAATTTTTAATTAATTCAATTCAATCAAAAAAGATTATCAGGAAGATTTCTATGCAGGATAATATTCTTTAAAATAAAATTAAACAATAACTTTTCCGGCAATTACGAATGTCCACTGAGCTTAATTTTTTTTTCTATATAAGAAAAACAAACAGTTCAATAGTTTGAATTACGAAAATCTATGTTAAAAATCTTACAAATTTTTCTAACAGACTTCAATTAAAAATGAAAAAGTTTAAAAAAAAAAGTGAGTTAAAATATTAACAGGCTCATTATGTACGACGAATTCGTTAACTTATTAAAGTTTTTTAAGCTGGGGTATTTACTATCATTTGGCGAAAGGATTTATTCGTTAATGCTTTTACAAAACTAGGACATTGTATAATATTGAAAGTATTTTAATTATTTATAGTTATATTATATAGTTAGGCAAATTTTTGGTCGAATTCGCCATGCATAATATTAAATTGTCAGATATCCGAATTTCTTGGCAATATTCGTTACTTATAATAAATCTTTAAAAAAAATTTTTAATTGCATGATTTATGCTATAAAAATAAAATCTCAGTCAGAGTTAAAATGTTCTCAAAAGAATGAAGTAAAAAAAAAAAAACATTTCAACAATGGAAATAAGAATAAAAATTAAAATTCGTAATAAAATTAATTCTGTAAATATTTTAAATAATTTGGAATATTTTTATCATGAAATTCGAAAAAAATTGTTTTATTAAGAAATTTGTATTGCAATTGTTTGGAAGGAAAAAATTTTTTCCAAACAATAGCAATTCTTTCAAAACTATTTCTATATAATTCGATAGACTTTCTTTAATATACGAAACGAAAAAAGTCAAATTTAGGATCAAGAGACATTTATAATTACATACTCTCTATTAGCTCTAATAAAATTAATATTAAATTTATATTAATTGTAGTTATTGTTATTAAATTTTAATATTGCTTAAAAATATTGTAATATTTTTAAATATTAATTTTTTATTCGGTTCCATAATTTTCTTTCTACAGTAAGACTATTTCCAAAACAGTAAAACACTATCCCGTAATTGAATTTTACGTTAAAATTATTTATTACAATTTTCCCATTTTCAAATTAATTTAATATTCTTATATACACGCATTTTTATATTTTTTTTTTAAATCTTTAAAGGTTTAAAAATCTATTCGAATTCAGCAATAGCAGTTCAAATTTCTAAATCAACATTTGTTCAGCAAAAATTTTATTATAATATTTAACAAAGTTCTTATTTCTAATTTTTGTTCAAAATTTAATAAATGTTTTATTTTTTATTATGCAAAAATTTACGCTAACGCACATATTCAATATTTTGAAAGCGATGTTCTGTCTAAGATTTTACCAATTTATTACAATTGTACAAAAATTTGGTTTGAAACACAATCAGGTAGATATACAAAACTTTAAACAATTAATCTAGATATTTGAAAATTTAAACTTACCCAAAAATTTTTGTTTTCTACAAAGGACATGCAACAAGAATTACACAAAATGTTAAACCCCACTACTCTTACTATTAAAAAGCTAAAAAACGAAAAGCTTAAACATAGAAAAAGGATAAAAAGATAAAAGTAAAAATAATAAACCAAAACCAAAGAGAAGAAAATTAAATAGAAATCTAATACTCGTAGAACGTTCAGATTAATATTATATTAAAAGAATTTGCTACATAAAAGATTTAGCTTTAGTAACACCCACACAAAAAAAAAACACACGCATCCACACACTTTTAATATGGGATATTTGGTAGAAAAATATATAATAGTAAAACAATAAATCTTTTAAACAAACCATTTTCCATATCCAATGGAGGTCCACCAACTGTTTGACTCATTCTTGGGTCAGTTACTGTAAAATATACTTCTTGTTTAACGCCAGGAGCAATTGCTCCAGATGGTATAATTAAAGATACATTCCAAACGTTATCACATAAGGTGCCGCCATTTTCATCGAATACACCATGAGTTGTTGATGGTTCACGTGGTATAATTGGAAAAGTAGTACCAGTTGCTCCTATTATATTTGGTTTAATTGGTGATGATGAAGAAGCTGCTGGCGACAACGATATAGATGTATTCGCCGTATGTTGTTGTTGTTGCGATTGTTTTTGTTGTTGTAGCGGTTGCTGAAGTTTTACATTTGTTGATGGTATAGGAACTGGACCGGCTATAGGTAGTGACATATCACTGGCATATGGTGTACTTGTTGCATTTGGGGGACCAACTGGTAAACTTGCCTGCGAAGTATAATGGGTTTCGATTGATGTTCTACTAATTGAAAGATCACATGTTGGATCATTAGCTGATTGTATTGGAGGAAGAGTTGGTGGTGGAGCAGTTCGTTTTAAAATATTTGATATATGAAATGGTGGGCGTCCGTCACGTGACGGTGTTAATGGTGTTGACTGTTTTTTATTTTCATCGCGAGGTGTATTGTTACTACTATTGTTATTACTATTACTTTTAACTGATTGTAAATCGAGATCTAATTTTTTTATTTTATCATTTATATCTTCTAAATCGTCTTCTGGGTCATCTTCGGTAAATGCTAACGGTGCTTTTGTAGTTAAAGAATTATTATTTTCTTGTGTTATTGTATTTTCAACGACTGTATCATTTGATCTTTGCAAATCGGAATGTGTAGTTTCATCGGAATTACAATTTTCATTCTCAGTTTCAACTTTCTCTTCTGTTTTACGTTCATCTGTAATATTTTCTTTAGATGTATTTTCTTCTTTGGTTTCATATATTGGTTCATGCTTAACAATATCGCGTTTTGATACATATGTGGGCTCAGCCATTGATTCTAATGTATCTCGTCGTGTTTGATAAATTTGTTCACGTAATTGGGATCGAGATTTAAGACTTTCTCGAACCTCCTTTCTTGACTGATACATAGATTCACGATCCGATTTATCATCTTTTTCAGATTGACTACTACTTTGTGGCGGACTAAATTCACGTTCAATTTCTCGTTTACCTTGTGCAATTCTTTCTTGCATTTCTTTTTTAGATTGATACAAATGAGAACGATGCATTTCACGACGTGATTGATAAGTTGGCTCATCAGAATGATCTGAAGAATAAAATCGTCGACGTACCATAACTTCTGAACCAGGTGCTCGTCTTTCTTGTAGCATATATGCTCCATGTCGACTTTGATATATGTCATCTGGATCATAAGTAACTCTTTGCATTATAACCGGTCTTTGTGAACCAGTTCGATCAGCTGTACTATGTCTTCGAATTATACGCCGTCCACTACTACTATATCTACCAGAATCAGCTTGACGACGTTCTAAATCAATTAAAGCACGATTTGCATATAAATCATCTAATTCTTGTTGTTGTTGCATTTGCTGTCGTTCACGTAATCGACGCATTGAATTTGTGTAAATATCTTCAGATTCTAAATTTTGATAAGTACTATTAAGCATGCCATCATTTGGATAATATGGTTCATGATATTGTTTCATTGCTGCATTATAATGTTGTTGCACTGATGAAGTAGGATACGGAAGTGATTGTTGCTGCTGCTGCTGCTGTTGTTGTTGTAACTGATGAAGATGCTGTCTTGGTAAAGGTTGTGTAGCATATGGAGGATAACCATCTTCTGGATAGTGAACCCGATTCATATTACGTTCATTCATTGAATATTGTCTTCTAATACATGGTTTTATTGCTACACGTTCAGGTTCTACCATACTATTCATACGTCTTAGAGGTTTTGTAGATTTAATAAAAGCATTTTTCAACGCCGCTAATGGTGATTTTAATACTGATTTCTTTTTTGTTTTCGGTGGTGGTAAAGGAGGTGGTAAAGGCGGTGGAGTTCCATTGGAATTATTTGCATAAAAATGTCGATAATTTGGATCGTTCATTTCATTTGAGTATATCATTTGATGTGAACTGCCTGATGATGATGATTGTTGATGATGCATTTGTTGGTTATTTTCATAATAATACCGTTGATCGTAAGGCTCCAGATCGCTAATTATAATTTTTTAAGATTATATTTTTGGTTTGTTTTTTGTCTTTTTTATTATTTTTTTTTTTTTTTGGTACTTAAAATTCAGAATAATATTTTTTTTTAAATTTTACAAGAAAATATAAAAAGAAGTGATTAAAGAAATAAAGAAGATCTTTTTTGAAAATTTTCTGTTTTTAAAATGACTAAATGATTGTAATAAATAGCGATCTACTTGTATTTAATAAAAATAATTTTAAATTCAAATTAAATTTAAGAGATCACTATTTAAAAAAAAATGTGAATGTGAATGTTAAATTAAAAATTATTTCAAAAAAAGAAGTATTATTTTATCAATAAGACATTCAGCACACACGCACACACACTCGCACTTTGCCAGCCACCAACATTTAATTTAAATTATTTAATATTTTTATAAATATTTTATGATATTATATAATTTTAATTTATATGTATAAGATATATGAAAAAATGAAATTAATGAAGATTCAATTTAACTATAATAAAAGTTTTATTTAATAAAAAATAAATTAAATGATGAAAGAATGGAAAAATCATGAAAGTTAGTGGCCCATTACCTTTAATTACATTTTTAAAGTTTAATATTAAAATGAATTTTATTTAAAAAAACTTTAATAATAATTATACAATGTTTAAAGTTCAATAAAAAAATTTAAATAATAATTTTTAAATTGAAATTTTAATAATAATAATAAGAATAAAGAACATAAATATTTATTTTTTTTAAATTATACTGAAATATTGAAATGTTTTACAACAATTTAGATCCTAAAACAAAAATCAATTTATACAAAGCATTGATAATATTTGTTAGCCTCATAATTATAAATATTATTACAATAAAGAAAATTAAGATATTTATTTTATAAAATTCCATTATTTGTTTAAATCAGGTGCAAGATTAAAAAAATCTGATTGAAATTTTCAGAAACATAAAAATTAGATTAAAGAAAATTGGATAGCAAAATTAATATTAAAACAGAAAAGATTATGAATTTAATTTATTATTCAAAAATAATTTAATTTTTAACATAATTATATTGTAAATGTGAAAGTTTTAAAATTTCAGTTTGGCATACTTATAATAAACATAAATAATTATATAATGAATTTTATTAAATAATTGAATGCTTCTGTTTTCTGTTTGATTCCCCTCTCTTTTTCTTTTTTTTCTTTTTTTTGAAATTCAGTACAAGTTTTAAATATTTTTACATTCCAGTGTCTAGGATATTTTCTAAGATTTAATTAGAATACTAAATCAAAATATTTCCAAAATAAAAAAAAAAACATCCTTATTATTGCCAGAAAAACATTTACTTTATTTTACCATTTAAGAATTAACTGATTCAAAATTTCAACTGGTTTCCAATTTTAATCGTAAAACGACATAGAAATTATGAAGATATTTAAATTTTATGTATGTAATTACGTACGTATGTTCTTTATTCCAATGAAATTTACCTTAATTCTAGTTTCTCAATAATTTGTTAGTTAAATTTAAAATTAATAAATATTACTAAAAAAAAACAGGAAAATTAAAGTAGAGTAGACAATATAATTTTGTGCGTTCTTTCATACTTTAATAAAATAATATAAAGATAAAATAAAATATATAAATAAAAAAAAGAAGATATCGTGAGTGTTTGTGCGCGTGTTTACACTTATAATAGGTTTTTAAATATAAAAAATTAAGAAAATAATAAAGAGATTCAACTAATAACTAACCAATTTCATTTCATATATTATAAAGATTTATTTTTTTTATGAGTGCGAACTGCGAAGTTATTAATTAAAATAATAATTGCAGATTAAATTTATAAGTCATATATCTATTATTATATAATTAAAATAATAACTCATATATTTTATTACTGATAATAATTAAAATGTAGTGTAGAAGTTATTAAGTAATTACCCTATTTTAATAAATGATTTATTCAGATAGATTAAATAAAATAAGTAAGTAGAAAGAATTTTACAGGAATTTCAATTAAAATAATAGAAAACAGTTAAATAAAATAAATAGGATTTATTTATTTAATAAATCATTTAACTAAATACAATAAAATGGAAATTCTTTGTGAAAGAAAAAATAGAGATTTATTGCATTCACTTATACAAATCATATTATCAATCTTATGCACATTTTTTGTCAAGTACAAATTAAAATAAATTTACAAATTTAAAAAATCAAAGAAATTCCACGATATTTATATTTAATTGTGTTGATTTTTGCTTTGATGTTATTTGTTAGTAAATTATTTAATATAATAAAAATTATATTTACTTACCTCATGTTATGATGGTGCCCAGCTGCCCCGATTTGAGGTTTTCGGTATAATTCGAATGCAGAGCCCCTTTGTTCTCTACTACCAGCTAAATCTAATGCATGTCTTTCAGGTGTAAGATGTGGCATAATACCTAAAAATGTAAAAGTGTGAAATTATCAAATACTAAAAAAAATTATGAAACAACAATACGACAATTTTTTATGACGGAAAACTTTTTTTATTAAATTTATAACAATATAATATAAATATTTAAGAGTTACCAATAGGTGGAGGTGGTGGGCCACGATGTGAATATTGACCACCATAACCACTGTTGTAACCATTTGTTTGTTGGTATGCTTGCTGTTGCTGCTGCTGTTGTTGTTGTTGTTGTCCAGCATTGTAATGGCCATATGCATGTATTGCTTGCTGTGTTGTGCCGTTCCCATTTGAATGATGTGGTGAGCCAGACGCTTGATTATGATGATAATGAGATGGTGTCGGTGGATAAAAAAATCCATTTGGAGATCTTGGTGATCCAGGTTCCTTTTAAAAAATAATATATAAATTATGCACATAATATATATTAACTATTTCAAACATAAAAAAAATTTACATCAAATATAACATAATATGTAGTTCCACTATGATAAAATACAAATAATATAAATATTATTAATCTATTAAAATTGACTTACTCCATTATCCCAATGTCCAGAATTTGTCATTTGTCCATTACTACCACTTTGTTGTATTGGTGGACGATAATTTTTAGGTTTCGGTGGTGGAACGGGTTTAAATGGTGTATTACCCATAATATTGTTAATGCCATTACCATTTAATGATTGAGATGACATTTGTTGTTGCTGCTGTTGTTGTTGTTGATGTTGCTGTTGTTGTTGACCTCCATTACCATTCATAGCTGATCCTTTTCCTATTTTACTAGCATAATCAGCTTGTGATGCAGAATTATTACGACTAAATTATGTGATGAACAAAAGAACAAAAATTTATGGATGAAAAATAAAAAAAAAATTAAAAAGGAAATTGGCAAAGTAAAAAAAATGCAAAAAAAAAAATAAACACCAAAAAGGAAATAAAAAACTAGGAGCACACAATTTTTTGGACCACAATAAACTTTTGAAATTCCAATTAAAATTACATTGAATAAGCTTTCACATTTGGAAAGAGGGACATTTACAATAAAACAAGTACTTAAAAATATAAAAAAACTACAATATATTTTGATCTTAGAAATTACTTTTAAAATTTTAGCAGATTTAAAAAATTAAAGAATCAGAACTGGCCCAGAATTTCGTTCTTTGAAAATTTATACAAGGGTATTATATTTGGATATTTTATGATGTTGGAGTTTAAAATAAGGTGTAAGATGGAATTTTCTTTTTGGTATTATTATGAATTTATGCAAGTTTTGATGAGTTGTTTGCATTTTCAAAGCTTGCAGCTGTATTCGCTGCCTGCATGCATGCAAAAAGAAAGAAAAGAAATTAAAAGTTAGTAAAAAAAAAAAGAAAATTATATATTGGCCGGTATATGTACATATTTTTATTATAAAAAAATACAATATTTTGAAAATTGTCTAAAAATCAATCGTCAACTAATATTATCAAAATTGTAAAAAGAATTCGGGATTCCTCTGCACTCCATTAGTGTAATCAATTTTCTTTCGGAAATTTAATTTCTTAAATAATTTATATTTTAGTAACAAGCGGATCACTATTACAATTGTTAAAAGGAATTTTTAATTATTCATCTAATTATTCGATCATATTTTTTCGTTCGTATAAGTGTTTTTACATTTCAAAACACGCTACAAAGACAAAAAATCCTTTGGAAGCATTGAAATCATTTACAAAACTGTACAGCTAAGATTTCTTTAGCTTAAATGATAGAAACGGCAAAACTATTAAAAAAATTACATTACCACTTCAAGTTTAATGATTTAGACAATTTTCAAAATAATATCTTAAAAAAGAATAAATTTTAACTTAAACTACTCATCCAATTTTGTAACACTTATATTTAAAACATAGTCTTATAATTCACTTTTTTATATTCCAATCGAAATGAAATAAATTATCAAAAAAAAACTACAAATCGCGCCTTATTATTTACCTATATTTTCCATAATCTGTTTTTGTTTCCAAAATCGGTTTTCTTGGACTATTATCAAGTATTAAATTTGATGGTCTTTGAGGATGATTTATACCAGATTGAGAATTTCTTGCATCTAAAATATTTTAAAAAATAACGTAAATTGGAAAAAAATAAAATTTCTTCATAATATTATTTTACCAATATTTCTTGGTGAACCAACTTCGTGATAACCCGGTCGACCAGGACTATTTTGGCGATTTAAATCATTAGCATTACCAAAACTTCTTGAATGATTGTGTAAACCTCTTGAATATTCTGTTCCATTTGGACCAACAGGTGGTGGTGGCCGACTATTTTAAATTAAAAATAGAAATAATAAATATAATCGTACAAGAAAAATTTAAATTGAAAATGAAAATTATATGAAAGAGCCTAAAAAAAATTTTAAACAAAAAAATGTTTTCAAAAAACATACTTTGTAGTTGGTACTGACTTAAGATCATCCGGTGCATTTGGTCCTAAACGTAAATTTTGCATTGATAATTGTGTTGTATTATATGAATCATAACTAGATACGCTATCATATGAACCATTCTGTGCAACTAATTGTTGTTGTTTTACGTTTCTGATACCAGATGGATCCATGATACGATGACGTTCAAGAGAATTTTGTGTTCTTTCAATTGAATCAGTATTATTTCTTGTGATATATTCATCTTGATGACTATCATCTAAATTTGATGATATTTGACCGGTTGTTGTTGTCGATGATGTTGTTCCACTTGGCTGCTTATTACCAAATAATCTTTCTTGTGCTGTACGACCAATAGTGCCACCAGAGCTACTCGTTCTTGACGGTGTACCACTATTTAATGATAATATACCATTTGTTGATGTTGTAGTACCATTACTAGTACCAGGTGGCTTGACACCACGATCAATTCTTGGTGGTAAATCGGGTGCATTAATACCATATAAAGATTGTGGTCGATTTGATATTTCGGGACTTAATGAAGATGAATTTTGTATACCACTTACTGAATTTGTTAAACCACCACTATTTGTTGCTCCAAAACCAAATTTATTATCAATAGCACTTGTACGACGATTTTGTGGTGGATTTGTATGATCATATGGATTCTTCGATTGAAAAATAAATGTAAAAATATGTGAGTATATGTTTATATGTATGCGTATGAATATTTAATTAATATTTATAATTATTTTACAATTATAAATTTTAATTTTTTAATGATTTTTAAACATGGTTTATTTGAATGTTTTTCAACTTGAGAACTTTAATTTTTATTTTTGATGTCAAAATTTAAATTTTTTGATATTTAATTTGATCACTCGGGAAATTTTGTAATTTTAACTAAAATCGGACAGCTCTTTTAACAAATTAATTCTTTAAATTTTGACATTTTGGTATTTGAATTGAAATAATATTATTTGACATTGAATTTGAATGTCATGCAGAATTATCATGTCTTAAAATTAAATTATAAAAATGTTTAAAAATCATTATAATGTTTTGATAATTTTTATAAAATATGTAAGTACGTATGTATATTATTTTAAATATTAAAATTAAATTTGACATAGACATAAATTAAATTCTTATTTAAAATTAATTTAATATTACATTATAATAAACGGTATAGGTTATAAAGATAAAGGGACTAAACACTCTTTAAGCGGATAAATAGTAATTTATATTACAAGTACCTATATCATATATTTATATATAACTGTATGTTTATGGATATTTACAAATAAGTATAAATATCATTAGATTTTATGAAAATGATAATAAAATTAAAATAATAAAGCAATTATTTTTAAAGCTGTTTTTTGATTATTTTTAATAAATTGATTATGTAATAATTGATAATGAATATATAATAGAGATAGTATAAAATATATTATGAAAATATATAATGATGTTAAACACAACTACATAATATTTAGTATATGTTTATTTTAATGTTACACATAATATATTGGTCCTCTTACCGTATATGGAGGTGGTAATCCTTCACCTATGTCCCTATCTCTATCCAAATTATCTTGATTAGTTGCTATTGATGGATCTGAACTTGATTTAACCAACTGCGGTAAATTTCCAAGGGATAATGATGCTGATGGCCCAGGACTTAATTCTAAATCCGATTCAGGGCTTGATGCATATGATAAACGGGATGTGGTCATTGGGAATAGGAAATCATCCGATAAGGATTCAACAGGCTTTTTATATATAATTTAATGATATATGATTTTTGGGTTTTTTTTTATATATTAATTTTCATTTTTGTGTAATAATATTATAGGATATTTAATATATGGGAGAATAATGAATAATATGTATATAATATATAAAGTTATGTGATGTAGAAAGTATTAATTTGTATTATATAGAAAGGAGTATTTTAATAGAATATTTTTGTGTTCGGTTATTATTGTTTTTTTTTTTTGTTTTTTTTTTAATAAAAATGATAAATAAATTAGCAAATTAAATAAAAATAAAACAAAATCACACGAATTCAAACGCAAAAATAGAAAAATATTAGATGGATATCAAAATAATTAATTATTTTAATATAATTATGTATTTATATATATATATATATATATTTAAATAATCAGAATAATATGTGGGATATATATATATATTTTATTTGAATATTTTATTATAAATGAAAATTTTAGCAGAATAATAACAATAATGATAGAGTAATAGTGTATAATAGTTATATTTGTGTATATAAGTGTGTGTAGATAATTTTGTATGAATGGGAAAATGAAAATACAAATGAAGGCGAGAACAAAATTTTAAACAAAATAATGTAAAAAGGATTGACATTTTAAAGGATTAAGGATTTTTTTTAAAGTTTTTAATTCAATATATATTTTTTTTTTCAATAAATGTATTAATTGTTTTTTCGTTTAACATGATACATATTTTAATTTTAATTATATTATATAAATTGGGGAATACAAAAAAAATTCAAACCAGAAGCAAAGGAAATGACCATGATGAATAAAAATTTAATATTTTTTTTATGTAAGTTTCATTTTTAAATTTATGTATAATATATAAATAAAAAAAAAGAAAAACAGAAAACAAAATCAGTTAGAATTATACAATTTTCTTTTTAAATTTCTAAAAATATTAATTAAAATTACAAAAACTAAAAAAAAAAAACATTTTTTCTTTTACTTTTTCTAAAATAACAACAAGTTCTTTTTAAAAAAAAAAATTCTACATTACTTTCGTATGATAATTAAATTATGAAATTTAGTGAAATATTTGCAAAATTCAAGTAAATTACTCATAAATCTACATATTTTCTGAATTAATAATTACCCAAATAATTAATAAATTATTTTGATTCCCAATGATCTAATGATGATGCATTTATTGTTCTATACAATTCGTTTAATATATAATGAAATAAATATTGTAATTATAAAAGAAAGTAATTTATTATGAATTCAATAAATTCAATATTTTATCTTCCATGTTAATTATATAGATTTATTATAATCAAAATATTTGAACGTTATTAATTAAAAAGCACTGATGTTTTGAAATAAAAATTCAGTCATTTACATACAAAATGTTCTCGAAAAATCGGGAGAAACGTGAAAACAGGTGATTTTTTTTTTTAATTTTAGATATTATACTTATATTTTAATTGTTTCACAAACAAGTTTTGATTTTTCTTTGATGAATTTCAGCTGCCTCTGACGTTTTTGTATAAGATTCGAGAAAAATGTTTGATTTTCAAACTTTGCTTTACGAATTTTGCTTAAAAAAGACCAAGTGAAATTGTTGTAGACCGTTAATTTTTCCTTTTTCATATACAAGTATGAAAAACTGAACACGCAGCAAGGTAAAAAGGTGTTTTTATAAAGTGATTTTTATTCCCAATACGATTTTGTATATTTTGTCTACTTATTTTTTTTTTTACGTAAATAGCTGAATTTATTTAATAAACTCAAATGATATGAAATGAAAATTCATTTCGTAAATTAATTACTTTTCTTCCGATTCTTACTCATGTTGAATACAATGTAGAAGTAAATAATATTTAAAAATTGTTTAATTAACTTGCAAATAAAATGAAATCTTACAATACTAAGTTTTAAAATATTTTATGAGCCAGCTTTGGAATATTATTTTATTATTACGAATTGTATAGAAAATAATTTTAAGTTTAGATATGTTATTTTCAAATTACTATATACCACGTGCCATCATTTAAATTTCTCGTTTAGTAAATTTTACGAAAAACTTGAGGCACCTTAAGCCTTAGTTAAATTCAACTTACATAGTTAAAAAATGTTTATTTTCAATTTATTTTAACAATTTATTTTAAAAAAATATTGTAGCTTTTAGCTCTAATTTTAACAGAAATTTACACAGAAATTCGAAGAAAATATATGTTAAAGAAATAACGAAAATTAATGAATATTTTATTGAAATGTACATAAATAAAATTTTTAACTTGAATTTTATTTAATATTTATTTAAGTATATGAATTTTAATTTTCTAACAAGTTGAATTTATTCAAAGCTTTGCTTAATTCTTTGAACCCAATTCTAACTGTAAACAATTAAATCATATTTAATTAAATATAAACTTGTGCGTCTATATTTAAAAAAAATGGTCACAGAATTTTTAATGATATTCATTTCATTGTTAATTTGTGATGTTAAAATTTTTTACCTTTTGACGAAACATTTGACTTCGAACGGTAAGTTTATATTAATTTTTACAATAATTATCGTAAAATTGATTTATATTTGAGTTTAAATTGCATTGCAACAGAAAGTTTTTACAGTGAAATTTTATTTTACATTTTTTTTTACCGAAATTGGTTCATAACATGTCTTGCGTTAAATATTTAATTTTCACTAAATTTCAATGAAATAGCTAGTAATTTTATTTTAATATATTTTTACATTTTAAATAAATAAAAAAAAAACAATTACTATAGTAAATGAATGAACATGCTTGCAAATATTAAAGCGATATAATTATAACATTTAACGTTCATTTTTTGAATATTAATAATGCAAATTTCTTTTTTAACAAACTACATATATACTCTTAATAAAGACGAAAATAACAACGAAATTAATCAGTGATTTTTAATAGTATATAAACATGCTATATACATATTATGTATATATTCACATTACATAATATCATAATATTAATGATTATTAAGAACAATGATTTGTTTATAACAGCTTTATTAATATTCAAATACATTTTAAAATGGAGCAAAAAATTGGAAACATACTAAACATTTACAAAAAAATAAAACTAAACATTTTTCATTAAATAGTATATATGTATAAATATGCGTTAAGCACTAACATTAGTAAATTTTCTTAAAGCTGGTGTTGGACCATTAAATGTATTAGTTTTTGAACCACCACTACCACCACTACTTCCACCAATTTCTCCTAAAGTACTTATTGTACTATTACCATCAGCATTACTACCATTATATTCTGAATTTGTTTTATTTAAATTTGGTATATCTAATGCATTATTATTATTGTTATTATTATTATTTGTAATAACATTTAATTCTTCAATACATTTCGTAAGTGTTATTATTTCTGAACCATCAACTAATTCTTCTTTACCACTTGAATTGGTACCGCTACGATTACCATTTTCATCTATATTACTATCAGTATGTAAATTTAAGCTTGAATCAAAAACAGCTGATGAAGATGTATATAAATCATTATAATAATATGGAATACGTCTTTCACTTTTATTACTTATACTACCGGTAGCATCTGTACTATTTAACATCAAATTTGAATTACTTGATGTTGTTAAATTTGATAATGAAGCGGCACTTTCTAATGTTATTAATTGCCTTTTCTGTTGTTGCTGTTGTTGTTGTTGAAGCAACTGTTGTTGTTCACGTTGCCTTTGTAATTTTTGTAATTTACGATATTCACGTGTTGTATTTTTACCATAAATTTGATTTAAATTTGGTTGTGACATTTTATAATTATTATAGCTATTATGATTATTTAATTCTGGTTGGACGGAGTTTTGATGTGATGGTAATTGTATTGTATTTAGTTGTGGTGACGATGGTGCACTAAAACCATTTGGCATTGAATTAGCTGATCGAATTGGCAGTGTTTGATATGATGATAGTGATGGTGCTGTTGGCATTATTGGTGATGGTGGTATTGGTGGTGGCATTTGAATAAGTGTCGAATGAAAATGTGTTTGTAATGGTGGTGTTAATGGACGTGCGGTTGTAAATGCAAAGGCAGTACTACTACGATAATTATATGGTGGATAACGTGGTACTGAAGTTGGACGACAACAAGGAAGATTGCATGGAGGTGCAATATATGGTGGGAATATCATTTCGGTTGGGATTTCAGGAAGCTATATATTTATTTAGATGTTTTTATGTTTTTTTTTATTTGTAATGTAAATTTTAATGATATATAGAAAATAAAAACAAAAAAAAGAAAGTACAAGAGGTATGTGTAAGTTAGTTTCAATTGTACCATCACCTATATTTTTAATATTCTAACAAATTATATAAATATGAATAACTAAATTCAATATATCAAAATATCTTTATTAATTAGTTCAAGGAGCAAAATATTTAATTATAACCGGTTTGGTTTTAATTAAGAAAATCTTATACTGATCCACATATTTATAAGATAAGTTTTTTATGTGAATTAAGGTGGAGTAAATGTGAACATTTTTAGTAAATTATTCTACATCGTATTGCTAATTTAATTAGTAAAATTAAATTAATTGAGCACATATAAATTTAAAGAACAACAATGAAAAGCATAACATAAGGCTGCAATTTTCGTGATTTAAGTTAAAAGATTTTGAGGTCGCCTTCCAAAAAGCTCATTTGAATTTCCATCAACAAAATTTTGTTTTTAATACCACTGACCTTTTTGTAGAATTATGATTATAACATATTCTATAAAAGCTATTAAATTAAATTAAGTACAGTTTCCATGTCACCATGTTTTAAAAAGTATAAAATAAAAATTAAATAATTATATGTAATATAAAATAATATAAAAAATTATTCTAACCATTCCATTAACAATTAATAAGAAGAAAAACGTAACAAAAATTTTTATTTTAAAATAATTTAAAAATTTTTGTGCACATTAAATTATATTCCTACATTTTTAATTCTAATTGTATGAAAACATTGAACCTTCTTCATTCCATTAAAACTCGGCAATCTTACCTTGCTCTCAGACATCCAAACTGCTCCGCTTTGTTGTAAATCAATTGATTCTCTTAATTTTCTATACCATGATTCTGTATCCGTTAATGTTATTGTTGTACTGAATATATGTGACCAGACTTTTTCCAATTTTTGACATTGTTCTAATAATTTTTTTGAACTTTTGTGCGCCGATTTCGGTATACCCTGTCTTAATTGTTTAACTGTATGTTTTGTATCGGCTTTCAAAAATAATACAATTGGATAGAATTGAGCGTAATTTAAACGATCAACTGCATTTGGTGTTATATCCAGCAGAGCATGTTTACCACGGTCCATAATATCACGTATATTTGATAAACGTACGATTCGACATTTAGCATTTGTTTTATCATCATCTTGTAATGGTGCCGTAAATTTATCCGGAAAATCTTTGGTTAATTTTTCTCGAGCAATATCTGATACTGGACCGAATAAAACAACCGGCCTTACGAATCCAGGGTGGCGTAAAACCACACGCTCATATGCTGGGAATTTCGATATTGCATCTGAGAATACAACATCATCCCAATTTTCACGTGATAGACTTTTTGATCGTCGATGTGAAGAACGTCTTCTTCTAAAGAAATTACCACGTGATTCGGAAGCATTCATTTCCTTTTTAGTTGCATTAAATTGAGCTGTTGCTAATTCTTCAGCACGTGATTTATTTGGTATAACACCACGTTGCATTTCTTGATGACCCCGTCCAATTTTTAAAACTTGCCATGATCCAACAACACCATTGTGCAATGTATCAATTACACGAAAAACATCACCTACAAATCAGTAAGTAATTAATTTAAATGTCAAAATAATTTTTCAATTTACTCACCAGCTTTGAATGCCATTTCACCTTTTGAAGGATTCTCACAATGAAAATGGGTTTTTATATGGAATGAATCACCACGTTGATTAGCAACAACCTCGTCATATTCATCTTTACAATGTTGAACAATTAAATCAATACGATCCTGAAGACTTAATAAAAATAATACCGCCTCTTCCCGGGTAACACCATGCATGTCCATGTCGTTAACTTTAAGAATTTTATCACCTGGAGTTAAACCTTGCAATGACGCTGGGCTTCCAGGTTGAACGGCTGTAACAAATATACCAGCTTCATTACCGCCAGTCAATCGGATTCCTACACTTCCTTCTTTTTGGAAAGAAATAAAACGTGGTTCGGCCGATTGACGTGATCTTTGTAATGGATCTTCTTCATAGAGTTGACGACGTGAACTATAAAAATCTTCAGCTCCAGTCATGGCACCACTTGATCCACGCGGTGGTGGAGGTCTCGGAGGTTCATCAATATTTTGACGTCTAGATGCACTTCCAGGTGGTGTACTTGGACGGTCTAATTGCGATAACTGTGAAACGTCCATAATTGGACCTCGAGAACGACCTCTTGGTGTTAAATTACTTTTTTCATCACCAGTTAAACCTGATGAGGATGGTATACTACTAGCAGCACCACGTGTTGGTGGCTGAACATATAAATTTTGTGACGAATAATTTGCTCCACCTAAATATGGATCATCTAAATTATTACTACAATTCGATATTTGTTGAGCATGAGAATACAAATTTGAATTTTGCACACCGGAATTATTTAAATTATTATTTATATTATTATTAGAATTTAAAATAGATGCTTGATTTGTTATATCTCGTAATACAACTAAATTTAGGCGTTCCTTACAGCCATCAATGATCTTTTTAGCTTCTTTCATGCTCATAGAATCATTACAGTTCGTATTGTGAATACGAGTTACCACATCACCTTCTTGTAATGAGTAACCATTTGCAATTAATTGATCACGAGCTTTAGATGAGATTTCCTGTAAAAAGATTATTTATATCAAAAATTCAGATATTTTTTTCGAAAAGTTATTAAAATACCTTTATAAAAAGTCGGCATCCTAATACAATACCAAAATCTTCCTTTTTACTAGCTTTTGTTAAAACTACTTTTATTGGTTGTCCCGGTGTAACATTTGGTAATAGTGGAGGAGAGCTTTGTACTGGACTTGCCAAATTACCAGCCCCCATACCACTACCACTTGTTAAACCAACAGAGCTCATGCTGTGTGTATGTTGATGCGATGTATTTATTGGAACACGCCGTTTAACTACAAGGGTTACTGTATTTCCACTATCTCTTAATACTTGAACAGCTGTTGCATATTCAACATTTTCTAAGCTTACGCCATTAACAGAAATTATTCGATCGTTAACTCTGAAAAAGATAAATAACAAAATTTAAGCAAAGAATTTTATAAAATTTAATATTTGTATAATCGTGCACTATTCATTAAACTAAACGAAGGCACTTATACTTATCCAAAAATTTTCAAAAATGAATAAAGTGTTTCTATCTTTTCATTTTACCTCTCATTTTATTAACACGATCGCATTAGGATTTTTTCTATTACGATTTTATATTGTTTTGCATATTTACGGCAATCCCAAAAGAAAATTGTTTTAGAGCAATTTTTAAATTTTAAGATTTAATTTCAAAATTATTTTCGTGCTTAATCTTTTCATATTAAGTCTTTCGGAGTTAGTCTTTTAATTCTTATTTTTTCTGGAAACTTCTTTAACAAATTGAAATTCTATTTAATTTAATCAAGATTGTTATTGCTATTAAATTAAAAATGAATATCATAACAAATGATCTTGAAATTTTAAAGTATAATATTAAGATCCCACATAGTAATTAAATTAAGTATAATTAAATATAATCAGTTCTTGACAGTAATTAAAGAAATTTTTAACTAAAATCAATAGTTGATCACATTTTCTATAACATTTTCTAAAAACAACTCCCGTCTCATAAAATTGAGTTAAAATTTTTTTTTCATATTCTACACTTACTGTAATCGATCCTCAGCTGGTCCACCTTTTAATACATCACTAACTGCAATTGATGGATCACCATTAGCAAAATGTGGATTATCTCGCCCACCAGATACAGCTATACCAAAACCATAGCCGGGTACTCGTGTGACTGAAACCGTATGATATTCCCATGTTGTTCTATCACCCTAAAAATATTATAAAGAAATTATTTTTTAGTTTAATTTGATTATCTTATCATTTAAATTATATACACAAATAGAAAAAATAAAAATAAAATTAATTTAAAAAGTTTTTTTTCTCATATTGGGAAGATTCTGATATGATTTTATGTAAATTTAGAAATATTAATATTAATATTATTAGAAAAGGACTTATCAAAATTGTCAATTTTATTGTCATTTTGGTAAGTACTGAATTAATGGTAAGTAAAATTAAAGAATTAAAGGTGAATAAAAAGTGATTAATTTCATTAAATCGAGTTTAAAAATGCAAAAGGATTTTCAAAATATTTTTGTTAATAATTCTTGAGTATTTATAATATCTGCTGTGTGCAATTATTTTTAGTTTACTGTTTATATCATAATTGAAAATAACATAACTTTAATTTAAAACTCTAGAAATGTCAAAATATGTATATGTAAATGACAGTATGCGTTCAAGAGCATATAAATAATAGAACATTTCTTTGATAAGAGAAACAAAACGTCATTATATTACGAACAGCTTCATTTTATACTAAAAAACACGATAAATAAAATGAGTACCGTGTATACACAACGTCACAACCACAAGGAGAAATGCGTGAGTATTATATTTTATTACTCTTTCTCGTCTTTATCTATTAGAAGTTTAATTAGGTTAATTTTACGATAGCTTTGATTTTAAATGTTTTATTTATAGATTTTTTTTATGATTCTTTAAAACTCTTTAAAATGACCGATTAATTGTCTTCATACATAATGTGATTTTATGTGTACACATAAAATATAAATGATATGGGGGTGATAGAGGACATTCTGATATTATTTTATGTTAATAAAAATTTTATTTTATTACAATTTAAGTGTGCTTTAAATATTTATATATTTTTTTTAATTGTAAATGTATAAGTATATATAAATGTACGTAAATATATATACGAATCTTATTCATATAAGTGTACGAGTATGTATAACTTTTAAAATTCTTCATTTTTGAACTTTCATTCAAAAGTACAGAATAATTTCGTGATTAAAAAGGAATATTGAATAATTGTAAGAAAATGAGAAGAAAATTATTTTTAATTACATATTGTAAAATATTTTTTGAGTAAAATATTAAGAGTTGAGCAGTGTTTCTTTTGATTAGAAGTGTTTGTAAAGTAGCAAACTTCCAAAAAAACGAACTTTCATTTTACATAAGTACTTAATTATTTTCGGCAAAATACATGAAATTGTTATACATATGTATATACATTTAGCATGAGAAAAAATTAAAAGTGAAAAGGTCACAACATCTGTCAAATAATGCGATGGCTAATTAGGTGAGTTAAGAAAAATATTAAGTTTTAAGTCAAAGGCAATTATTTTTCGACTATAGGAGATAGAAATTTGGAAAAACTTGTAGTTTCAAAAATGCAGGGCAAAAAAAAATTGCTCACTGATGCAATTTCACTAATGATGGGTAGGGCACTGATATCGAGAGGCGATGACATATATCGACATAGATTGGAAAAAATTTGTACGTAGATATTTGAATAAATTAATTATCCTTAATTATAAAAAACAAAAACTATGATGCAAAAAGTGGCATATCTCTACATAATGAATATTATTCGAACGAAAATTTCTGTTAATCAAATAATTCGTTTGACATTAGAAACTCTTTTTGATCTTAACCATTCTAAACAACATGGAATCTTTGTATTATACAAACAAAACTTATTTGACATCGGCTGTTCATTATATACCCTCTAAGATGAAAATCATTTTTTTATCAATTAAAGAAATTCCTATATTAGAGTAAAAAAAAAAATTTAAAATACTGACAAAAAATTCGAATAACAAAAGCTATTATTTAATACATTGTGATAACCTGATAACAAATACTTAATACTATAAATTTTAAATTTTCTCATTTATTATGTTTTAAATGCAATTTTTTTGCCAAATACCTTGACATACTTTGATGTATATCTATACATTCAATATGTATATATATGTATATACTTTCTTTTCCATTATGACTAATAAATTTGGTATTTACTTTTGAGTATTAATAACATTTGCTACCAAATTCATTTTCATTTAAATATGGTTATTAAGGAGAAAGTGAAATTTATGTAACGTGTATATTTATAAAATTTTTAAAAATAGCCATAAAAATAAAAGAAATTTTTGCATATTTAATTAGGCCTGAGGTTGTTTTCTTCTTATCTTTGTTTTCGATATTTAAACATAATTTCGAAAAATTGTTTAATTTTGTTTGGAATGAACCTTTTTTGTTCTATTAGGAATTAAAGAAATAACTGCTAGAACTCAAGGCTTCACCAGTTTTATATTGAAAATTAAAGACCGAAACATTTTATTTTATACTAGTTAATTTGTTTTTAAAATTATGTCAAATAAATAAAATAAAACGAAATATTGCGGTGATATATTCAATAAAAAAGAATATATTTTATTTTAATAAATGCAAGGCTGCAATATTATTAATTATTTGCGGTCTAAATCTCAATTTCTTTTCATGAAATTAGTATAAATCTAAATGTTGCTGCAACTAATTTTAGAAAAACGTGTACAATTTTCAATATACGTTGTCGAATTAAATCAAAATTTTTTTGCGTTTGAATTATATTGCGATATTAAACTTAACAAAAAACAAAAGAACAAAATATCGCGATATTAAACTTAACAAAAAACACACTCTGAAAAAATGTCGAAAACTTAGTTCACAAAATTTTGAAAAAGGCGATTTGTGGTAAAATATAGAGAAATGTTTTGCGCTTTCAACTAGGTGCCCAGTTCAAAAATAACAAATTTGAGATGTTAGAGATTATTCTCAAGGAGCGATATAAAAAGTACATTAGTAGTCTCTTCAACTAAAATATAAATTAAGTAACTATAAATTCGTCTGTTGCGAAATAAAGCAGTGTATGATATATGTGATTAAAATACACTGTTTCATTTCTCAACAGACGAATTGTTAAATTTATTTATTTAATCAATTAAAGAATCAACATAATATATAATTTTTTTTTTGTATTTTAAAAAATTTAAATTATGAACTACTTAGTTTATTTTTAATTGAAAAACAAAAAACAATAAATTACTTATATCTTTGACAAAATTTTTCCGTTTTCTTAAAATGAATATTGAAAATAATTTTAAAAAAAATTTGATTATTAATATTAAATTTGGTTCATATTTTAATCTACTTTACTCAACTAATACTAAAATCACTTTAAAATCCATTAAAAATTTTGGAATTTTTTTTATAACCGAGTTTATTTATTACCATTCTAATTTATCAATTTCAATTCATTTCGATGAATAACCGGAAAGATTTCATAAATATCTAAATACCATATTAGGAAAATAAAAATATTTTTAAATATTTTAACTTGATAATAAAATAAAGATTATACTTAATATAAACGTAATATAAAGGTAAACCTAATTAAATATCATATAGTTGCTTATATAGTCAAATTTTAGTCAGACAAATTCGCTTATTAATTAACATAAGTCGAGTTAAAGTTAAAAGTTTTGTTGAAGATTAAAATCACAAAAAACAAAATTATCTTTATATATTACATTTATAATAAAAGAAAAGAAAAAATCATACTCAACACTCCTCAAAAACAATGAAATAAGTAAAAGACTTGTTAAGTAGTTAAATTAATATTTTTGTTTTTTTTTTTATATAAGTATATGCAAGTATATATTTATAAAAATTGGAAGGTGAGAATGCAAGTAAAGAGTTATTAAATATTATTTAACATTTTTCCTGCTTTCTATATGATAGTCACTATTTAAATTTAGAAAACATTATAAGTGCTAAAAAATATGAAATTTATAAGTATACTTAAACCCCAGTGACGAATATCATTAACCCTAATTAAAGCCCATTGACGGAAATAATATAGGAATTGCGTTCTAATGCATGATGTAGATAACAGATTTTGTTCTTTTAAAACTTATTGCTCTATTCTCTTAATTAGTAAATTATTAATAAATTATTATATCATAATTATTACTTATTTATTAGTACATTATGGTTTCGTATATATTAAGAATTTTGTAAAAATATTATTCAAATTAATCTATTTTAGTGTTGTCAATAAGTTTATATGTATAATAGCAGGTAACAATGTTTGCATTTAATTAACTGCTCTGGTGTAGTTTGGAGTATAAATTGTACACTATATTCTTTATGGAAATTCTGGTATATACATATATATATAAGTCAACACGAACATATTAATTTTAGAGCTATAATCAAGATTCAGAGCAGAATTTCAAACTTTTGGAACAACAACAATAACGAAAATCTGCTGTCAATTCGTATATTTTGACAATCACTAAAATTCAAAATTCGAAAATAAAGTAAATTTGAAGTTGCATTTTTATTTTGTACACTGCTTTTTAATTATATAGAAACGTAATTTATTTGCAGTTATCAAGTTTTCAAATGCATCTTTGCATTTTATAATAATCTTTTCCTAATTATATGTGTATAGCTCAAATTTTAATTATTTGACATTTATTTTCCATAAATAAAAATCCATTCGCCGGGAGTATATAAGACTGTATACGAGTTGATGTAATTAAAAATATTATAGTTACAGCTGTTAAAAATTTAGAGTGTTATACACCCTTTAATGTAATGCAAACAATAAATAACAATAATTCCTATTGAAGTACTCTTTACTAATGAATATATTAAATAAAATTTTTTTATTAAATTATTTTTATTTAATAATATTAAATTATCATTTTGTTTTCAAAATAACCTCTTTTTTTCTTCGTGTGGTAAATAAAATGTGGTGACTATATTACACACACACTAAAATATCAAAAATAATTTGATAATTCTCTATATGGGGGCTCCTCTATTTGTAAATCAATTTAAAAAATGTTGAAAGATACAGAATCAGAAAAAAAAATAACTAAAATGAAAAATTAATATAAAACAAAAATATTTT